CAGTAGTTTCTTTGTTTCGAGACCGTTTTTGTCGTAAATAGTTCTCACACTCAACACCGAAAAAAATCGTCATCGTCACTCTGCCGTACTCGTTCCACGCATTTATAACATCACACGATTCTTGGTCTTCCGCCCACGAGTTTTCCGGAGGTGCGTATGTACAATTCTCGGTATTTACATAATTATCTGATACAGTATTTACAGTTGGTCTTTTATTACGCGATTTACAAAATTTGGCGAAGTGTCCTTTATAATTACAATTTTTACAGGTTATGTCCTTCGCTGGGCAGACGTTTAAGTGCCCTTTTGTAAATGCATTCCCACATTTCATGCACGAATTACTCCGTTCAATGTTTAGGCTCGGTTTCTTTTTGATCTGATTATGATTGTTAAAATGTTTTAAAGTTGTCCACTTGGTCGACGACCGTGACATATTCGTCACTTTCTGATGATTAAAATATCCCTTTTCGTCGATTAAAGCTTGATTAAGTGCATCCAACGGGCTTATGGTACCTGACAGTAGTTTCCTCTGGGTGTCTGTGTTTTTCATATTGCAGATGAAAATGTCCCTTATCCACTCTGCCTCGTCGGATTCCTTGATGTTGCACGTGCTAGCCAAATCCGTCAGGGCTCCCCAAAATTGTTCGTAAGACTCGCGGTCTTTCTGCTTCCGATTTAATAATTTGTATCTTTCAAACGTAGTGGTGGGCGGTTTGTTAAATGCTGCGTTAAGCAAAGTCCAGAACTCGGAGAAAATTATTGCTAAAATCTTGACTCTCGGGTTCTTCTGTGTAAAGACTCTTTTTCCTTCGCTCCCTAAGTCTAGTATTAAAATTGACCGCAGTTTCTTGTTCTCCTTTGTTCGTCTCATTCCATTATATTTCCTCATTTCTTCGTTGATCCGCTTTTATTCGGCGGATTCGTACTGTTTCAACGCGTTTTTGTTGCTATTCTCTCTGTTGGTTCTTTCCGTGTCCGACTCGCTGCCTGTTGCTTGTTCCAAAATTGGTATTTGCGTCTCTGGGATCTCTGGTCCATTCAGACTTTCCAAATCCAGGTTTTCTTTGGCAATGATCGCCAATTGAAATTGGTCGCTCCATTGGCTCCAGGCATGCGCTGGCTCTAGGGTATGGTTAGGCCAAAAGTGGGGAAATCCACGCACGTTCGTATCATTAGACTGCGCCATAATAAACTATTCTAATTCTGTATACCTATTTACAAGTACTGTAAATAAACTTAAAAGACTAAAACTATTAAAAAGAAGTATGTGAATTAAGAACGTTAAAAGGACAACTGACTTTTCTCATATCGACCAATGGTCGTAACTAAATTGGTTAACAGGTATTAATTAAATACCGAAGGTCATTTAAGACACTAAAACAAATCACAACACTGCTTGAGAAAGTTTTTTGTCATAGAGTAGCTAAATCAAAATGTTAATAACCCAATTTATTTTTCTTGAAAACTTTCAATTGATTTTTGTTTTAATGGTCTGTAAACTAGATTTTATAGAATCCATTTTTTTCTTTCGGAAGGATTGTTCGGTCGATTTGTCTGTTCGATCAATTTCAATGTTGAAACAAACGCAAAAACTTACTTACTCCAAAAGTTTCAGGCTACAAAACTTTAGAATATAATTTGCAAAACGAAGTTCAGAAAAATTATAATTTTTTAAATATTGACCAGATTCAAGTACTTTCTCAAGGGGAGATATTCAAAAAACTTCGAAAGTTTTGTTGAATTGTTTTAATCAGCTCTCCTAATTTCAAAGCCCTCCTTTCTGAGCTCTCCTATTTTCTGACATTCCGAGCTCTCCTAAATCAATTTAAAGATCCTGTTTCGACCAAATTTTCTGCTCCGCAGTCAAACTTTTGAGGAAAAAAACATGCCAAAAGTACGTTTTTAAGAAAAATTTTGATCAAAAATTGATCCAAAATCCAATGGTACATTTTTAGGGCTTTTTTGGTCAAAATTTGTACATACTGGTGCCAAAAATGCCTTTAGAAAAACTGTATGGTCGGTTATCCAAAAATTGAAGGTCTTAAAATAGTACCAAAGAGGGATCCTTTGGGTCGGCAGGAGGTCGAATCCCTGAAGGAAAACGTTCGCCCCCACCATCTCCGCAATCCGCCCCTGATTATGATGTAGATAGTTATCAGAAATTTCAGAAAGATAAGAGCTTCCCAAAAATGCAACTATGTGTGATGACGTGCTCATATCGGAAAATTTCTGTTTGTCCCGTAAGAATCTCCGCAAAAAATGGGCCACTTTTTACTCAGTAAATGTGGTCAAAGAAGATCTCTTCCAGTGATAACTCGTTTTATTCACAATACCAAAATCAGGGGCGAATCTTTGAGTTTCTGGAGGGGTGCTGATTTTCAAAAGTTTTCAAAATATTTACTTTAGTTTGATCAAATTGATATTCCGAGATCTCTCAGAGAACTAAAAAGACCTTGTTTCGGCCAGTTGAGAAAAAAAAACAGGCTAAAATGGCGTCTGAATGCAACTTTTGCGTACGCGCGCGCATCTTCCTCAAAATTATTAAATATAGGCGCCTGAGTAAAAAATAACCTCTGTAAAATTCAATGGATACAAAAATGGAACTTTGTGGGTTCCGTTTTTTTGTGATTGAGCATATTGCATCACATATTACTGCATTATGTCACATGCAGGTGTAATATTACAGGCATTTTGTTATTGCGAATTTCGATGCTCGGGAGATTTTTTCTCCAGCTTAATTTCGACTCTTTATCTAGCTATTTTCAACTAAATTTTGTTCAACCATCTGAAATTTTATTGTTCAGAGCTCGGATAGAAAAAAAGATTGATTTGTCATTAAAAGGCAGTCTGAAATTTTTTGGTGTTGCCCTGATACGAGCAATTTTGTCTATTATCCCAATTGTTTATTCAGGAATTTTTGTTGACAATGTTATAAGACAACCAACAAAAAGTGTCTCTACCTTAAGAACCAAATTTTTTCTATTTACTTTTCAAAAATAAATGAATTTTCGGAAACGATAAAAAACAAATCAATTTTCTGTCTTTTAAATTTTTGGAAAAATTTCTAAGACACTTCCAGGCCTGCCGCTTATGATTATTTAATCAACCTCGAATTACAATGATATTCTGCCTCGAAAACCGGACAAAACGGCGACACGTTTTTGTTGTTTTTGAGATTGAACAAGGGAACAACATAGCTAAAAAGCAAAAAACACACAAATCTTCAGATCTTATCAATTGTTTTTTCTCTTTCAATAAGAAACAAACATCAAACATCAACTCCTGAGAATAGAAGGAATGAGAGATAAAAAGAGACTTGATGTCTAACCAGCAGATGCACAATTAACCGAGTTAAGCTGTTAACCGATAATCCAGCCACTGAACTTAATTTTTATTTGATGAAAAACTTCGTTACGTCTTGTTACGTATAACTTGTGTAGTCTAGCAACCTTTTGTAGTCTACTAGTCTACTTTTGTAGAGCTAGGATTGGTTGTTATTGTTCCGATTTTTGAAGAAAACTGACTATTTTTGCTTGGGGTGGTTTTTTTATTAAGCCAATCTTCGAACTTTTGGCAATCGAAATAGTAGTTTTTGACAAACAATTTTTATACCCCTGGACATCAATTATAAAAAGGCATTTTACATCCGATCCCCGATTAATATGTGCAAAACTTTTGGATTTTAAGAATAGCCAGTTTGGCCATTCTTTGGACTTATCTATGCGTGTTTTGAAGATTTTATTCATAATGCTGAAAATGTAACGCGAATATTTTGTGCCGAGCGAATTATCCCGCTCAATAAAATTGTTCCAATTTGATTGAGGCTACCCTAAAGTAAAAAGAGAAAATAGTATATTGTATTGGATTTTTTATGTCAATCTCCATAGCTTTCAAAAAAATGATTATAATCGATTGAAAGTAGATTACAATGTTACTCTTTTTCGAAACAAAAAAAATATAATCGATTTTTTTTTTGATTTTTTTTCTGAAATCTTATTAAAGTATAATCCATTTTACAAAATTATAATACATAATTATTCAGCAAACGTCATCGCTTCAATGCCTTTTATTTTGTGCTGTTTTTTGTGCTTTCCAGGTGGTATGTGGTAAAATTTTGATAGAAAAGATATTATAATCTATGATCAGAGATTACAAGAGATTTTCGGAAAAATTATAATCAGTTATAATTGATCACAAGTTATTAAAATTTCACCAAACATATTATCATTATAATGGATTATATATCGTTTAAATATCTAAAATTGTTGCTTATAATTAATTATAACTTTGCCGAAAATATAATTATTATTATAATATAATCGATTAATTTCTCTTTTTTTTTGTACTGAGTGCGAGTAGCTAATCGGTCGTATTAGTTTTGCACGACTCAAATTTCTTGCACTTAGTTTTTGACTTTGTCCCAAATTTACAGTTTCTCTTCCGATTCTCATGATGAAGGTAACGGAATATTTAAGCTCGAGATGGTTTTTTTTCTTCAGACAAATTTCGATTTTTGAATTAAGCATTTCTGACAAAATTTTAGAAATCCTTTAAAAGGTATTGCTGTCTTGAGCTTAAATTTAAAAATATATGTTACCCGTGATCTTTTTTTGCAAAGTAATGGGGGTTTAAATAGTGCCATTTTGGCCAATTTGGGACAGTTAACGTGCGATATGTTTCAACAAAATCATTCCAAATTGAATTGAGGCTAGCAAATTGGTTCTATTAAAATGGTACGACTCAAATTTTTACACTTGATCCTTGATTGTGTCCAAAATTTATAGTTTTTCAATTTTTTCTTTTGCCAAAAGCTATTCGATATGATTAACGGGCAGTCGGAATATACAGGGCTTTGTCCTGATATACGAGCAGTCTTGTTGCGGTGTTTGGGCAGAACTCGAAATACTAGAAAATGACTTTGAATTAAACCCCTCCCCTCATCGGTAAAATGATCTTGCCGCGCACGCCATTGGCTGATCTAGGTGAAAAAAGGAACGTACTGTTGCAGCAGGAGGAGTTCCTGTAGAGGCACAAATGTTTCGTGTAGCGGCTGGTTGTGCAGTCCAGTGCCTGTGTACAAGTTGGTGGACCAGCTAGTAGAAAAGTGACTACCAAAAAATATGTAAACACCCTACTCAGATGTCGCACCGTATTGCCTGTGTCATTGCAGCCGCCACCGCTGCCACGATGACGAAGATGATGACGTTGATGATAAAGTTGAAAGAAAACTTTATTTGTCATTGCTTTGTTCATTGACGAATATACTTCACTATATATAGTCATAAATTCAGCTTACAAATTTAGAATCTAAAGTCGAATCGACAGCGAGTTTTTCTTAATCAGAACAAAAATATTGTTTTAGAATAAAATTAAAAATGTAAGTTTTAATCACATATCAATTTTTTCGTGTTTTCAGGTGTTTTGAAGAGATTGCAGTGTATTGTGAACAAAAGTAGAAGCGAACAATATGTTTTGAATGTCTTGAAGTCTTGTTGAGGTAATTATATCGTTATCTATCAGAACGACTTTCGACATGATGTGTCGACATACTGACAACATTGAGATTATCCCTTGAAGCCCACCGTTAAAATTTCACGCTGTTATGCTGTTAAAGTTGTATGCTAGTTACTACCAAATGAGAGCTAAAATACATGGTGCTATGTAAGATATATGATACGAAGATTGAGACGACAAGACATATAGACGACAAGACATAACGACATTGAGACACGACAAATGAGAAACATAACAGCGTTTACATTTAACACAAACCGATGTAGCCCTTTTGTGATTATTTATTTGGAACAAGAAACCGTTGACTAATAAGGACATTAATTAGAAATTAGGGTGTTTGTTAGAAAAAGCATCAATAAATGAAAGAATAAATAAATGACGCAACTTACACCGCAGATAACTCATTTGTGATTCGCTTACTGTTATGGTTATTTTTAGTCATTACATCATAAAGCCCCATTTGCAAATAGGCCGAAAATAGCAAAATGCGATCAAATCTTAAGTCGCAAACATGAATCGCGAGTTTGGACAAAAACAAAAAATAGTCGCAAAAGTCTAAAAATAAAAATGATAGTGGGATTGCGCCAGTTTGTTGGCGATCGAGATGGTTAACTGCCATCAGGACGACGATACGAGCTTGTTAGGTGTGTTGTTTAAATTGTGCCGTTAGATCCGCGAACGGTAAGTTATTGTCTAGACAGCGCTTGAAAACATGGCTGTTCGGTAGCAATACAATGATGATTTAAATTATCCGGACAAAAAGCATTTAACTTGAAGTTTAAAAGCGTTTTACTCAAATTGAGTGGTCTTTAAGTGAAATTGATGAATACAAAAATTGCTTAAAGTTTTAGGAGAATTAATATGGTGCAATTTGTTTTGGAAAGTTCAGCCCTAAAGTTTTGTCTCAAAAAATGATCGTTTTTAGCTTTTTAGTCAATCAAAATTACAAAAACTACCAGTTAATCACTGACATAAATATATCAAAATGAGCCTCTTACTTTAAGAAGGGTATAGTATCGAAAAAATACCCCATTTTTTGTATTCATTAGTTTTTGTCTTAAGTCAACCCAATTTGAAAAAAAAACGCGTTTTTATTTTCAAATTTGATGCTTTTTTTCAGGATAACTTAAATGAGCACTGAAGTCCAGAAATTAGTGGCGATATATTCTGAAAACGAGTCGCGATAGTCTGGAAATAGTGGCGACTGTCTCGACATAAATCGCGGGCTTGGCGGCTACAAATAATCTCAAGAAAAAAGCAGAAGTAATATTTGGAGGATGAAGGAACTACATATTGCAGACTTCATACAACAACGATTTAGTCAAATTGCAAAAAAGAAAAACAAAAAAACTGAAAACAACAAGAAAATAAAATTATGTTATGTTGTCTTCTGCCAAAAAGCGACAGTCTCGACAAATCGTGGACCTGGTGGCTACAAATAATCTCAAGCAGCATGTGGAGAAGTCAAATTTGGAGGTGGAAGTAATTATTTCTTGCAGACTTGATACCACAAAGAGTATACTTAAACTTCAAAAAGGAAAAAGCAAAAAATTAAATAAACGAGAAAATAAAATTATGTTATTATGTAGTCTACCAAAAAGTGTCACTCGGGTCGAGATACCGCTCAAAAACCGCTCAAGATATAAGCAGTTTGAGCGGTTTTCCAGCAAGATTTGAGGCGGTTTGAGCGGTTTGGGCGGTTTGGGCGGTTTGGGCGATTTTTTTGGAAAAAACCGCTCAAACCGCTCAAATCTTGCTTAAAAAACCGCTCAAAAACCGCTCATTTCTTGGGGTGATTTTTGAACGTTTTTTCAAGCAAGATTTGAGCGGTTTTTAAGAGGTTTTTGAGCGGTCTTATAAAGAAAACCGATTAAAACCAACAAAAAGGCCTGGAAAGCTAATGTGACGCTAAGATGCAGTTGAAATACTATCTACAATTTAAAAAAGTGCTTAACCGTTCTCAACTCTAGCAAGATATTTTTCGATTTATAGACCACAAACAGTGTGAGCGACCTTTTCAACGGCTCAAGCAAAATAACCGCTAGAAAATTTTTAGGCATATGTATGTAAATATGTATGTATGTATGTATGTATCTATGTATGTATGTATGTATGTATGTATGTATGTATGTATGTATGTATGTATGTATGTATGTATGTATGTATGTATGTATGTATGTATGTATGTATGTATGTATGTATGTATTATGTATGTATGTATGTATGTATGTATGTAAATTGGTCATCGTTCTCTGTCTGTCATTACATTGCCAATGAGTTTTCATGAAAACAAACTTTTGCCATGTCATGATCTACTTAACAATTACCCTCCCCCATCAAGAAAGGGGCCAGTTGTTAATTAGATCAAGTTGTCGAATTTTCGGTCAATCAGAATGCAGCAGAATTCAAACTTTAAATGCAACGCTCTAGTGCTAATTTACTGCTGTTATTTATAGGGGTGGCAATTCTTTGGTAGATATCAAAAGGAGGGCAATCCTCATGTCATTTATTTTGTTTCTCAGCATGGTGAATTATTTCCCAGTAAATAATTAAGAAATGCATGTAATTTGTGTCATTGTTTCAAACTATGATTGCACGAGTTTCATATAACCATAGTTTTCTGGTGCAATCTATCTTAATGTTTAAAAATTCACTTTTTGAACTGTTTCAGCTTTTCAATCAAATTATTTTATTACAACTATCGATCCCAAATTGATTTTTTTAGAATAGCTAAAAGATTGTTCCAGCATTGTTTCAGATGCGTTTCGGTGTTGTTTTCCGTATATTTTTGAGTTTTCTTCTAATTTATTTAATTTAGATTTATATGCTCTCTATACATGCTGTAGTTTGTACCTCTATGCATGCAGTAGTTTTGTAAACGCTAAATTCGTTTCGTCTGCAGTCTTGACACTTTTTGTCACCAAAAACAAAAATACTAGCCAAACCACAGCCCTTTCAATTCAATCTCATGCTATGATAGCAAAACGGACTGTTTTAATCGAATGGGTTGAAAATTATGAATCAGTCCGGTGTCTCAGTAGTCAGGTGCTTTTTAATTTTTTTGTTGTCCATTCAAAATCAAGTACCAAAAGTAATCAACAGATAAATCAATTGATATACTAAATTGAAGCCGTTTCAGTCGTGAACTTTTTAAAAATTTGTCTCACTGTAGAGAAAAAACGGACATACATTTTTTGACATTTAACACAATTTTGAGCAAGTAGCGAAATCGAGTATCGTTCGTTATATAAAATACAACAATTTCGCAATTTGGTGGGTTTTAATTTTTATATGTTCCACTTTAAGTCAGGTTTCACAAATAATTATAGGAAAGGGTCGAGTGATAAACCAAACTAAATTTCTTTCAATCTGGATTGGAACGACATTTAAAAACTTTCGAAAATGCGCTCAGTGCAGAGAAAAACTAGATATACAACTTTTTAATTTTCATATCAATTTTGGTTGCATAAAGCAATCATTTAACGACTGTTATTTGAAAATTTTTTACTTAGATTTGAAAATATTAAAAAAATTGGTTGAAAATCATGATATCTACAAAAACTTTAAATTCAGCTTCATGTGAAGTGTTCGTGCCTTTGAAAGATTTGACTTTATTGATCACAATGGCGTTTTTTTATCATCTCAGGTTTCGATTGAAATCGGTCCTGAAAGTTTTGAAGAACTATATCAAAGTAAAGTTTGTTTTTCCGACTTTTGAAAATGAAAACGTTGAGAAATTTTGTATTCAGGTGCTTTTTAATTTTTTTGTTTTCCAATCAAAATCAGGTACCAAAAAAAACATCGGAAGAAGGCGACTGAAATAATAAAATGAGAAAAATTGATCTCTACTAAGTTGAGAAGAAACTGATCTAAAAATATTGACTTTAAATTCAATATTTACAAGTAACGCAATCGAATAGTGTTCATTATAAAAAACGTAACTGTTTTGCAATCGGAAGGGTTTTAGTTCTTTTATTTTCCATGCAAAATCAGGTTTCAGAAAAAATGATTGGAATGGATCGAGTGATACACCAAATTAAATCCCTTCCAATTTTGATTCGAACGAGATTAAAAAACTTTCGAAAAAAGTGTTCCAGTAACTTTCGAAAAAAAGAACAAGTAATTTATTTTCTACTTTCAGTTCAATTTCGGTTGCTTGAAGCAATCAAGTAATGTCAGTTTTTGTGAATTTTTTGTTTGATTTAGATTTTAAGCCTGAAAATCTTTTTTTCAATTCGTTTTCAATTTTGGTTGCATAAAGCAATCATTTAACGACTGTTATTTGAAAATCTTTTACTTAGATTTGAAAAATAAAAAAAATTGGTTGAAAATCATGATATCTACAAAAACTTCAAATTCAGCTTCATGTGAAGTGTTCGTGCCTTTGAAAGATTTGACTTTATTGATCACAATGGCGTTTTTTTATCATCTCAGGTTTCGATTGAAATCGGTCCTGAAAGTTTTGAAGAACTATATCAAAGTAAAGTTTGTTTTTCCAACTTTTGAAAATGAAAACGTTGAGAAATTTTGTATTCAGGTGCTTTTTATTTTTTTTGTTTTCCAATCAAAATCAGGTACCAAAAAAAACATCGGAAGAAGGCGACTGAAATAATAAAATGAGAAAAATTGATCTCTACTAAGTTGAGAAGAAACTGATCTAAAAATATTGACTTTAAATTCAATATTTACAAGTAACGCAATCGAATAGTGTTCATTATAAAAAACGTAACTGTTTTGCAATCGGAAGGGTTTTAGTTCTTTTATTTTCCATGCAAAATCAGGTTTCAGAAAAAATGATTGGAATGGATCGAGTGATATACCAAATTAAATCCCTTCCAATTTTGATTCGAACGAGATTAAAAAACTTTCGAAAAAAGTGTTCCAGTAACTTTCGAAAAAAAGAACAAGTAATTTATTTTCTACTTTCAGTTCAATTTCGGTTGCTTGAAGCAATCAAGTAATGTCAGTTTTTGTGAATTTTTTGTTTGATTTAGATTTTAAGCCTGAAAATCTTTTTTTCAATTCGTTAAAATCATGACACGTACCAGAAATTTAACTCAGAATCATGTAAAGAGTTTTTATTCAAAATGGGTTGTCATTAGCTGAAACTCATGAATAAAAACGTGCTTACAACTCTAGCAGAAATAATATGGTGCTACCAACCAGTCACTGTCATAAAAATATCAAAATGATCCTCTTAAGCCCAACACACTTAAAGAAGAGAAGTTTTTTTTTCAACATTTTTCAACATAATATTCTGCAGTCTCGACAAATTGTGAACCTGGCGGCTAGAGTTGATTTCAAGCAGTATGTGGAGAAGTCAAGTTTGGAGGTGGAAGTAATTACATCTTGCAGACTTGATTCCACAAAGAGTGTACTTAAAGTTCCAAAAAGAAAAAAAATTGAATTAAAAGAGAAAATAAAATAATGTTATTATGTAGTCTACCAAAAAGTGTCAAGCGGCAAGCGAATATTGAAGTGCAGAGTTATGTAGACTATGTAACTACTATGTAACTATAATACTATGTAGATATGTAGACTTCAAACTATAGCTATGAATAAATCGGGGCCTAGGAAGTTAGAAGACAAGCAAGTTAGACGGATGCTACAAAAACGAATTTGGACGGAGTTTATTTTTTACAGACCTGGCATTTTAGACGAAAAAGCTATGAGAAGAAAAAAGCCCACAAAAAGAACATAAAATGTCAATACCTATCAAAACCTTTAGTTTCAATGAACATAAAATGTCAAACTCGAATATTATAGGAGTATTTTGAATTGAACGAATTGTGTGTGAGTGACTTGTAAAGTTTTTGGCCACCGAAATTTAACTGTTGTCTGGTGCACAAATTTATTTTCTCTCACGTTCGTCTATTTTCTCACAATTGCAGTTTTGCAAAGTCGTCTTATCTCTTTTTAAGTACTTCCGTCTAATTTGCTTATCGTCTAATTTCAACCCCCGCATATATCGCAACTAAATCCCGTCAGTCGCGTCAGGCGTGCCCGTTTGTGTATCTACCAGAAGTTTCCGCGACATCAAGTTATGTGTTTCCGTAGTTGTGTCAAAAAACTTGACTTTGAAGATTGGTAATCATTTTTTTTTTATTACACTGCCAATTTGTTTTCAAGAAACAAACTTTTGCCACGTCATTTTATTTGTTTCTAAGCCTGATGAGTGGTTTCTTAATAATAAATTAACAAATGTATGCAGTCTTGCGTAATGCTTAAAAAATATTTTTTTGAGCTGTTTCAGTTTTTTATTCAATTTGATCTATAGTAACTTTCGGTCCCCATTTGATTGTTTTGAAAGTGCTTAAATATTGTTTCAGCGTTGTTTCAGCATTTCGGTGTTTTTTGGCCTAATTTTGATTTTTCTGCTAATTTAACTCATTTAGATTTACATGCTCTCTAAACATGCTGCAGCTTGTACCTCTATGCATGCAGAAGTTTTGTTAACGCCAATTTTGTTTCGTCTGCAGCATTGACAAATTTTGTCTGAGCGATTTTCACCAAAAACAAAAGTGCCAGCAGGGCCACTGCATCCCCAATTTAACGACCAGCTGTGTTGGCAAAACAAGCAGTTTAAAAAGGGCTGAAACCTATGACGCGTACCAACAACTTCATCTAAAGTGTTCACGCCATTGAAAGAGTTGACCTTATTAATCAACGTGCCAGTTTTTCTGTTCAACCCAGCTTTCAGCTGAAAATGGCTCTTTGCTTTTAAAAACATGTTTGATTCTACTTACTCAGCCCGGGTCAAATTTTTTTAATAGATTTTCCGACTTTTGAAAACGAGGATAAATTAGTGTTCATGTGCTTTTTATTTTTTTTGTTGTCCTTTCAAATCAGGGACCAAAAGTAAACATCGGAAAAAGTCGAATGATAAACTAAACAGCTGCCTTTTCAGTCGAAAACGACTTTAAAATTTTTTTTAAGATCTTTTCTCAGTGTTGGTAAGAATTTTCATTTAAATTTTGAGCAAATAACGCGATCGAGTAACGTTCGTTTTATAAATTTTAAATAATTTGCAGAATTTTTTTTGGATTTTCGGTTCATTTTTGGTTGCTCAAAGCGATCAATTAACGACAGTTTTATGAATTTTTGAACTGACTTCTGAGCTTGAAAAGTTAAGTCATTTTGAGTAAAAATCATGACACGTACGAAAACTTTAATTTAAATTTCAGGTAAAGTCATCACGCCGTTGAATTATTTGAATTTCATAATCAACGTGGCGGTGTTTTTTAACCGCATTTTCAATTGAAACCGGGCATTTTGAAGGATATTATTCGAGTAAATTTTGTTTTTCGACTTTTGAAAACGAGGAGAAACTTTATATACAGGTGTTTTTAGTTTCTTCTGTTGTCCCCTCACAATCTTGTACCATAAATGAAGATTTCGTAAGCGTCTTCGAAAAGTTTCCAAAATTTTGTCACAATGATTAGAGAAAACAAGATTATAATTTTTTGTTTTAATTCAAGTATGAGCTAGTAACGCAAACAAGTAACTTTCGTCATCTGGAAAATAACTAAGTTGCAAAAAGGTGTGTTGTTTTGTTTTCCTTGCAAAATCAGTTACCACCAAAAAATTATCATAACGCGTTGAGTGATATACCAAATTAAATCCCTTTCTTTCGTGATTCAAACGACTCTAAGAGTATTCTAAAAACTGTCCCAGTGCAAAGAAAACTTTTTTAAATAGATGTTTTCAGTTCAATTTTAGATAAGTTATGCAATCTAGGACTTTCTCGAGGGTGGGGACGGATTTTCAAACAATTTTCGAATTTTTGTTAATCTGTGTTTTAGGTCGACCAAATTGGTTCTTCGAGCACTCCCGGAACACTATATGAAGAACCTTATTTTGACTGAAAAACCATGCATCACAGGCAAATTTCTGAAAAAACATGTCAAAAAGCCGTTTCTGGGCACTTTTTGGAAAAATTTGATGATTAAAGTTGTGTTTTTTTTTCAGCGCCTGCTGCCCTTCAAAATTAGTTTATATTGGCGCCCTTATTAAAGTTATAGGGCTGGCTGGCCTAAAAATGATTTCATAAAATAATATCGAAGGGGGACCCTTTGGTTGGTGAGGTTTGCAAATCGCTGAGGAAGCGTACTCATCCCTCCCTAAATCCTCCCCTTGCTCGAATTACTGTACTCGAATTACTGTACTGGAGATGTTGCTCAAATTCTGCTCTAGCACCGTTGGATTAGGATACCCAAAATTTTCTGACACGTAGCACAGAGAGTTCTAGTCATAGCATTTCTACAAGATATTTAGATGCATCAAGCTAAAACGTTAAAACAAAAAATCCATCCCAAAAGACTTTCAGATTTTTAATCAATTTTAATTTAACTTTGCATTAAATATATGTTATAGAGAGAAGGACTCAAACCAACTGAGGATAAATAAAGGAAAGCTTGGTTATTTTTTGCGGAACTGTCCTATACTTTAATCACCGTGTAATGCAGGGGCGGATTTAGGAGCGGGGACGTCCTTTTCTTCTCATGGATTTGACCACTTACCGACCAAAAAGGTCCCCCTTTGAACTATTTTCAGATATCAAATCTTCGCTGACAGACCCTAAAATATTTCTAAAGGCGCCTTTGGCACCAATATATACTTATTTTAAGGGGGGGGGGGAGCGAGCGCCGAAATTTTGTGGTAAAATTTTTTTCAAAAACTGCATAAAAACGCCTTTTTGGCCTGATTTTTCAAAGTTTTGCCTGCGGCTTAAAAACTTCAAAACAGGAATTATTTGCTGCTCTGGGAGAGCTCGGAAATTCAATTTAGTCGACCTACAAAAAAAGGTCGAGAAAATTTCGAAAAGTTTCTGAAAATTCGCCCCCTCCCCTCGACCCCTCGAGAAAAATCTAAATCCGCCCCTGGTTAAATGTTTATTTATATTTATATTAACAAGCTGAATTTTTATCATTAAAACATATTTTCCAAATTAGTATCAAAAATTAATTTTTATTAAATGAAGAAAAAACGATATGCATATACATAAGTTTTATAACCGCAACATTTTAATTGCAAAGAAAAGCAAAAGTTGCTAGTTTTTTGAATGATAATACTTACCATAACGGTTCTTCTTAGTAAAGTTTCTCACAACCAATTACTCTTAGTTTTGAATAATCAGTTTTATAGCGTCAGTTTTATATCATCAGTTTTATGTCATCAGTTTTGTTGCATCAGTTTTATAGTCAAGTTTTATAGCATCACTTTTGCTTCGTTCAGAAGCTAACTTTCCGTTGTTTTTATTCCAGACTCGGAGTTGGCGGACTTGAAAATTGTTTTTACCCCTTCAATGTCCACTCTTAGCTCAGAATTTTCCTCCTCTCTCTCTTCTCCTTGGCAAATGAGCCTTCCAGACGACTCCGAGGATTTTTTGAATCTCTTACATCCCAGACAGACAAGCGCCACCAAAATTATAGTAGCTAGGGCTATCACCCCCAAAGCTATAGCTGAGACCACCGCCAGAGTTCTCCATAGGCTCTAAAGGCAAACAATTAATTAGGTGAAACAATTATCCTCCAGCAAACTATTGTAGCTTGGTAGCGAGTATCCATCTCAAGAAAAATAGTTACACTTCGTTTAAAAAATCCGCCATACTGGTTTAATTTTTGAATCCGCTGCGACCAACGAGCTTTTTTTGCATCTTCAGCTCTTGACTTCTACAATTTCGACCTTTACTATTTGCTTTTTTTGAATTGTTTTCATTAAGATTATTTCGCACAATATTATTTTTGAAAACCTAGACTGAATATCACCTTTTCTCTGTCTTCTGGTGAAGTAGGATGATGAAAAACAGCTTCACTGTCATTGAATGCTTCGAGAGTGAGCAGTTTGCAGGTCCAGGGGTCCACTTGCATGTGTTTGACTGGCAGAGTTGACAGCTGCACTGGGTTTCCAGGGTACTGCACTGGATGTGAGTGGAGACTTGGCGGAAGAGGGACCATCACAAGCCAGAAGAACACGCTATGGTCTGCAACAAACGATATGGCTCATCTTAACGCTTTAATTTATCTTTGAGATTAGTTCTGGGGGGTTACCAAATGTGTCTAAGATAGGACTGGAAAAGGCTGCACCAAATTATGCATAACTTTTGAAATCAATTAACTTAATATTTTTTGATGAAACAAGTAAATATTTTGTTGTCCCATATCGAAAAAAAAATTGAGGTTTCTGTCAATACACGCTTGTCATAATGCAAAATTCAAAAAAAAGGCCGAATGAAAAAAAAACAGATAACTTCACAAACATAGTCGGAGCTTCTGAATAGTTTCGGCGGTTCCCATCGGGAAGCACATGAGCAAATCTTCCAGATCGGGACCCCCGTTGGCTTCGCGATTCTCATTGGTGAACATGAACTCTGCCATGTGACTGCCAATCAGGAATCCACTGGTCGTGTCCTCTATTGACACTTCGACTTTCAGGCCTTTCAATAGCGACCACTTCTCTCCTCTCACATTCCTGAAACAAAAAAATCTAGATAAAATCTAGATAAAGAGTCTTAGATAAAGTTCATAAAAGGACTTTCCACTTTGCACAGATTTGCCGGATTTCAATTTACAGAGAAATAGCAAAAATTAAAAAAAAAATTGCAGTTTTTTGTACAATTACTTGCAGAACGAGGAGAGGTGAATCTTACTGACTCGCTGAATCTTGATTGCTACGTGGCTTATGCCACGAACATCGCGAGTCAAAATTGGTGTCCACAAGAAGTACGTCACAATTTTGCGCAACCAAGATTTTTATGCACAATCAAAAAATACGCCGTAACTAAGAAAATTAAACCAGACTTTGTTGAGTGAAAACAAAAAACTGTTTCTGCTTTTTTGAGCAAAAGAAAAAACAAAAAAAATACGGTTTTTGAGCAAAAGAAAAAAGCAACCAACTGAACTCAGCGCGTCCCAGCAGAGATATGTCGTGAGTTTGACCAATTGAAAATGCGGCGGGGCAGTAAAATTAAAGTTTTTGTGGTGATGCCACACAAGATCAAAAATATAAGCTTAAACTGAAAAACATGGTGATGAAACTCATTTTTAAAAATCATTGTACAAAATAATGCAAGGATCTTATAAAATTCTTTTGTGCGTTCTTTTGTGTGCGTTCGAGCCCTCTGTCAATAAAATTCACGAACAAATGATGCCCACAAAATGCCGACAAGTGGTTTTTGTTATTGGAACCCGGAGACAAACGTGTTCTGGCCTTTTCAGTGGATTCTAACGAATGTTTCTGAATTCCACAGCTTTTCATCGGATTTGTTTTAAGCTTTTAATCTTATGCCGTTCACTTATCTTTTTGTTGCTGGATTCCGCAGTTTTTGAAAAACAGTGGAATCCAGCGACAAAAAAAAAACAATTAACTGCGGAATCCAATGCCAAATTACAGAATCCAGTGACAAAAAGAGTAAACTGAAAAGGAAACAATTGACAAACGGTAAGAATCAGCGACTTATTGCTCAATTTGCTCCTAATTCCAGTACGCATTTTTCTGTGGAATCCAAAACAAGCATTCCATAGCATTTGTGTCCAAAATCTGCATTGCCACTGGATTAAAAAAAATTTTGACTTCAAAGAGTTTTTAAAAAAATATGTGGAATCCAACACAAGTTAAGTGGATTCCAAGGGCAGCGTATCTTTAATCCAAAGCATTACCAAAGTAACCAAGAGCTTGGTGTCGTATTTTTTGTGCAAATAAATATTTTCAAGGGAAAGTGATTTGAATATTTTTTTGAATGTGTTGAATGCATGACCCGGGTTGACCAAAAACCCTTGTTCGAGAAGGTCCTATCCTCGAAGGCAAGGTCGGAACAAAAACTTTGCCCGACGCCAGGTTGAGGAGAGAGTTAGTGGATGGGAAAAATCAAATCATCGTTTTTTGAGCTTGTTTAGTTATTTAATTTTTTTGAGAAATGTTTCTACAAGTAAATCGTTTGTCAATTATAACAAAAACTGATTTCTGAGAAAAAGTTACGTCGATTTTATTTTTTTGTCAGACATCAGTTTAACTAATCATTTGAGATTGGTAAACGACTTACATGTAAAAACATGTAAATCGTTTACCAATTATAAATGATTGGTTAAAATGATATCTGAGAAAAAATGAAGTCGACGTTACTCTTTCTCAGAAATAAGTCTTTGATATAATCTACACACTATTTACTTGTCCAAAAATTGCCAAAAAAGTTGCCAGAAAACAGTTCATGACTAGAAAGACGGGTTGGTACAGGTAGCCCAACAATAAATGAAGCTAAAGGCCATTAAAAAAACTATTAAATTTGTAGCAAGTAAACCATGATCTGGTGACTTATTTTTCTGTTCGAATGATTTGCAGTGGCCAACTTTTTTTTTTTTGAAAAATAATTTGAACAACCTTCAAAGTTTTTTTAATCCGACATTTTTCAAAAAAAAACCTTGCTTGAAAATTTTTTTTCACAACACTATGAGCGTTTGAGTTTGCGAGACGTTAAGATTGATATATTTTCTCTTTTTAGATGTTCAAAAATAAACTTATCAATGTTGTTTGCTATCGACATTCTGTTTCCGGTGAAATTTTTTGAGACATTGCTAGAAGTGTTGACGCTTACTTTGGCATAAGCCCATTGATGCAGATTCGGTCCATCCCGTGATCTATGAAGAGAGATTGCTCTCTGAACCGGACTTCTGGAGGTGCCACATCTCTTCCTGTCATTTCACGCAGACAACGGTCTCCATTGAAGCCTAGATAGAGCAGCAGTCATAGACTATCTAAGCTTTAAAGTTCCAAAGTCTCACGGCGTTCTCGCGATGAGATGTCATTTGGTTGTAAATTAACTGAATTTTACGGTGAATGGAATCTATATAGCAAACAGTTTTTTATTATTTAAGTTTTACTATTTTTGTCCTTAAAATTTTTTTTGTGTTGTCTTGGACGCAAATTTTTTAAAGCTTAATCTGATTTTAATTACATTAAGCATTTTAAGTTTTCGTTAAATTTATTGCTTTGAGACTCGTTCGTAGCAAGCTTATTGAACATTTTGGCAAAAAGAAAGTTTATTGACCAGTTAGTGATCCTTACAGCTAACAAGGGTGACCACTAGCATTAAAATTCATCCAATATGACCCATTGTTTTTTCATGCAGCAAAAAAAATCAAAAACTATACTGCAAATAATGGCTCTGGTGCCATTAAGCTAGACGTTAAAAAGTAAGTTCTTATGATAGGCTGATGAAAAGGCTGCTTGGGTTTTACTTGAAGCCAAAATGTATAAGATGACAGGTGTACTCACTGTCACAGCAAGTGGTGTTTTTGTAGATGCATGTACTGGACCAGCTTTTGTGGTGAGCACTAGTACACTCTAGCTCACCAAAAACCAAAGGGAGCTGAAAAAAGTGGCTGAGAAGCGTGAACAAGGCAGCTCGGATCAGTTTGATGAAGCAACTATTTAGGGACATTTGAACGCTTAAGTTATATTTGTATCTTATCAAAAAGGATGAAGCTGTTTGTTTTAGTTATATTTTGTTTGATTTTGAGGTTTGTTTTTAATCAGAGAGAAGAATTGAATTATGATATCTTTTTTCTTTTCAGGCTATCTACAGTTCTTGTCTGTCGACAGGTCCGTCGACATTCACACCGCATTATGGCTTCAAATTACAATCGTGACCAAGACAATACCATCACGACTATAAAAGTTGCCGGTAAAATTACATGTGATGTAATTGCAGCAAAATCGCTGCAAAACTAGAACTGCAAATTGATGACAAAACATGACTAAAACTGTCGTGCAAAAATCGGATCAAAAAACGTTCAAACTCTGTCGTAACTCTGTGATTTTCCGCTAAATATAGATTCTGTTCAACAGCCAAAAAAAACATGGATGATATGACTAAAAACCGCGACTTGTAATGTCCCATACCTGACTAGCAATAGTAACGTTCGGTTTTTTACGACTCGCGATTTGCTTTAAATGAAACTTAATATAAACAAAGATTTTAGATCGCGTTGACAATCCCCCTTATGGTACCTAGAAATTAAAAATCACATGCACGAATACTGAAGAAAGTATTGTCGACCGAAAAACTTTGTCGACCTTTTTTAGGTCGACCAAATTAATTTTTGAAGCTTTCCCAAAGCAGTACAAAGACCCTGTTTTGGCCAAAATTTCTGCTCCGCGTTTTTAGGCACTTTTTGGAAAATGTTAACCAAAAAATCGCGTTTTTTTGGCGCGTGCTCCTTCATCAAAATTGGTATATATTGGGGCCAAAAGGCGCCTTTAGAAAAATAAAATTTTAGGGTCCTTCACCAAAAATGGATATCTAAAAATAGTACACCCTTTCGGTCGGAAGGGGGTCGAATCCCTAAGGAAAAAAACATCCGCCCCCCCCCCACCCCTAAATCCGCTCCGCCTTTGTGTATATACCTTTGCGTCTAAAACTTCGAAATTTTTCACAGATGAGTTGATACAAAAACAAACAGCTGTACATAATCAGCAAACTGTTTGTTGCTACTTAGTTTGATTCTTTTTCTTGGTAGCCGCACCAAGAGATACAGCAGAGCGTTAAAACTATAATGAATGAGTTCGATGAACTCAATAATGAGGATAAAGAAGAAAAGTTAAAACTAGGCAAAGACCAAGCGAACGACTTGTATTTCCTAGGAAGCTGGATTGACCAAAAAACGGACCTGATTATCAAAAAAAAAACAAGTTGGATGTGTACGGGCCAGAGTAAAAGTTAGAATAAATGATGGGGATAACAAAAAAGCAACAAGCTAAAATTATCGAGGACTGTGTAAAAAGCGGCTTGCTTTTCGATTCTGCGCAACGCACTTGGTACGATAGTGATAATAAGAGCAACCAATCGGAATTGAGCTTCCAATCACTACCGCCACTTATGCGTAACAAAAAGCCTTCCACTTATAGATATGCATGAAAAACGTACCAAGGACATAGGAAACTAGCTGGTTGAAATTATTTAGATAGAAAGTTCAGAAAAAACTACTAGAACGCATCGAACATGTGTTAAGAAGGCCCAAGCCCGACAAAAATTGCAGTTTTTATGATTAATGCATCTCATTAACAGCTGGAAAATCCGTTACCTCGCCGCATCGCCAATATTAAAGCGACTAGCCAATCAATGAAGATGAAGAAAACAAAAAAAAACTGGCAGTGTATTGAGACTAATGAAGAGCGTGGTTGCCGAAGAGCGTGAACGGCGCGACAGTAGCGTGAAAGTTTGACTTCGCTGCATGCTGTGACAGACTATTATAATTTCAGTGCAGCACGAATGGGACCAAGCTAAAATCCTCCTCCCCAAACACGTTTAGGGGGAGGATGTTAGCTTGGTTCTAATTGGGAATTTTCTAAGAAGGCTGTTCCCTTAATCTAACTTGGTTCTAAGAAGGCTGTTCACTTAATCCCACGAATGTAGCGGTGTACGTATTTGTTACAAATATGACACAAGGCGATACTCTGCAAGTTTGACCGTGGCCTTGAAATACTAAATGTGTTGTCAACAGACGAAACTTTGAGAAGACAACAGAAACGGATTAACGTAAACAAACCTGATTTTTTTTCCTTTACATAGAATAGAGTAGATAAGCTTAGTTTGGTAGCTGAAATTGGTACCGCGACAACTCGAAACAAAAGACCACTCGCAAAATGAGACAATTCGAAAAAACTTAAGAAAAAGACAACTCGTATAAAACTCGGCAGAAAAATAAATTTCCCTTTAATCTAAACGTGAAACAAAAAAAAACGCTAAAAGATCAAAGCCTCTGAGGCGTCAAAATTTCTTTGGTTTAAAGTGGTTTTACAGATCAAAGTTACATGAAAGAGTTTTCGGCCGTAAAAAAAGATAACTGATTTGATAGTTTTTAGGAGTTTCTGATATCCTTTGTTGCAATTGTTTATATTTCAGAATTTTATAAGGCTTTTTTTCGGAGCTGAGCTGAATAAGACGATTTTGGTTAAGCTTTGCTCGTTCCTTATTTGCTGAATGAACTTTGATACAGTGGGGTGAGCATAACCCATACCTAATTGAAAAGCTCTATGCCATCTTTCGACCGAACTGTTGGTTTTTGACCAATGGAAATGGAACCAGCATTGTTGAACTGGTTCCATTTAGCTGGTTTGAAAGCTAGATAATTTCATAGAATTCCACGTGCATATTCCCCCACACAAATTTTTTCGAAAAAATTGGCATAAAATTGGAGCTGATTATTCTCAATTCTTGTTGCGTAGAGAGCTTCTAGTGTCAACTTCATGTCGCACTCAGGAAAGAGAGCCAGCGAAATGAATCATTTCACTTTCTTTCTAAAGTCTTTGTCTTTTTTGTATTCAACCGCCAGTCGTAACTGTTGTATTTTATGCACTTGGTGGGCGCAAAACAAAAAGCACCCTTTTAGGACGATGTGAAAAATTCCGATTGGAAAGCAGAATTTGCTGCTTTTTCGAAATCAATAATAATTTCTGTTGGCTCTAACAAAATGTTAAAATAACGTAACACATGAAATGCTTGTGACATTGCTGTTGAGTTTTGCGTTGCAACAAAAAGTGAACCATTGCGAGGGCGCAGTTAATTATAACAGCATATACAGTATACAAACGATAGAATAATGAGGGACAACATTTAAATGAGGGCCAAGTTGTGTAACGCTCAAGAATGTCCAAAATTGCCTCAGCAGTGAACACAAGAATTTGGTCGCAATCCTCCGGCCCCGAGCCATGAGTCAAAAATTTTTCCCCTTAGAGTAAATTGAAGTTTCATAGGTCTTTGGTTCAACTCCAAAGTCCATTTCTCGCTGAATCGCTCTTGCAACCGAAGTAAACTTCCGCATGTTTGCTGCGCACTCCTCAGAAACGGTGCTCATTACTTTTCGATAAGTAGATCCGGGATAATATTGCTCGTTTTGCGTCTTTTCTTTTTTTTGCATGGCACTAAAACATTTTGGAAAATTTACTTTTTACCCCCAGAAGTAGTGCAAGTAGTGAGGACTATTTTTTGAAAAAATTTGTTACAATTATTTTTTTTTTACATTTCCCCATTAATTTTTTACTGCAATGCACGTTTAAAGGTCATGCTTTTTCACCCTTTTTTGAATCGAACTTCTTGAAATTTCAAATTGCGAAAATGCAAAAAAATTTAAGACACGAGTAGAAAACTTACTTTTCAACTTCTCGTTCATGAGGCAACATTGAATATAATCAAGGTCTTGGACTCATTTTTTGGCGTTGAACGAACAACAAAAGACTCATATCTTTCCCCAATAATTGCTTTGAATTACGTATAAAAGTAACTGATTCTTAGTGGAAGGTTACGGGTCTTAGTTTAAGGGTAATTAAAGCGTTTTGCGAGTTGTACTTTTCTTTGCGAATTGTTCTTTGTTGCCGTGTTACGTTGTCGTTCGAATCACGAGTAAAAGGTTTTTGATATGATATATCACTCAACTCTCTCCGATAAAGATTATTTGTGGAATCTGGTTTTGCGTGAATAACAAAAAGAAGAAAGAACTAAGACATACCCAAATACAAAGTTCCTCCACACTTTTCAAATGGTCGGAAGAAAGCGAAGTTTTCTGCGGAACCTGCTCCAGGTTTTCGCGGAGTCTACTCCAGGGGTCCGGATAATATCCTCAAATAACTAAAATGTGTTCTAATTTCTAATATTATTTTTGTCCACTTCTCTTTATGGGTCAAAAATCACTTTTTCCTGTTTTTTTTATATTTAGGATGCAAATGCGCTGAGCGGATTGAGTATCGAAAATATACAATCTCTAAGAAAGTTGAGAAGCAATAACTCTTTCCCACATACAGACATGTAGGTGTGAATAAGGCTAACTACCTCCTTCTACCATGCTAACTCAGTCGTAACACTACAACTCTCGAGTTGTTTTGTTTTGCGACTGATATTTTGTTGCGAGTTGTCGCGGTACCTTTTGATCAAAAATTTTAGCTCAACTGGTGCTAAAAGGTGCTCAACTCTTTTCAGCACGAAGTAATTAAACTAGAAAGTATAAAGCAAAAAATTTTGTAGCTTCTGAGCTTAAAGTTATTTAGAAAACAAGAAAATGTGCAAGGATCAGGCGCGGATCTAGGAATTTCCCAATCCTTTTTTTAGTCGATCAAATTGAGCTCTCCCAAATCACTATAAAAACCCTAGATTGATCAAATGTTCTGCACTGCGGGCAATTTTTTCAAAAAACAGGCCAAAAAGGGCGTTATTATGAATTTTTTGAAAAATTTTTTACCAAAAAGTTCTGAGACATTACTACAGTTGAACACAAATCAATAAATTCAGTTCAAAATTTACAGTATAAAACACGGAAACAAAAAACTGGATACTTAGACCCTAAAAGATAGCATCAATGGAGCTTATATGTATCTAACTTTCTTTTTGCAGAAGCTAAACAGGCAATCGTCACCTCAATTTGCAGAATGAACTTTTGATCTTCAAACGCTAGAAAACTAAAAAACCAACCCTATAACAAGTGCGCCATCAAGATTTTAAACAAACAAATGAAAACCTTTTATCTGAAATTACTTTAAGCAATTTTTACAGAGGTTATAGAACGTCTCACTCACCAATGCTATTTACTTTCGAAAGCAACAGTTTGTTCTGTG